TTGTATCCTGCATATTCATGCTGCATATTTATGAATTAATACCTTTGTGAACAAAAATAGCTATCTTCTGTGATTTTGCTGCCTGGTATATAATTGCAATGTATTATGGTAATATTTTAAAGGGACATTGTACACAGACCTTAACCAATTTGGAGCTGACCAAATGTCAGGGTCCCAAAAATCAAGCCAAAGCTGAGAAAAATCCAAGGATAAGCATAATGCATGAAAATGAAGCTTCTAGTTACATTTTTCAGTTGAAAGCATGAGAGATGATGTAAAGTATTGGTGAGAGAGTGTGAACTTTGGAACTGTGTCTGAATTTTACTACTAGAATTGCTTGTGTGAACATAGACAAATGACCTTCCCTAGTTTAAAGTGGGAACAATAGATACAGCTGCTGCCAAGATGGTGCTTCCAGTCTATATGATGTGGAGACAAAGCAAATGAGGATCTTTTCTCAAAGTGCTATAGTTGCAAATGAATGTCTTCATTGTATTGACTGTGACAAATTGTGAGTGACAAAGACAGGTCTTATCAGCATCAAGTGCAAAGTTGTGACAGTTGACCTTGTAAAGGTATTTCCAAACAGAGCATTGATTTGTTAGGGGCAAGATTTCCTGAGGTACATATTGCCATCTAAGTGAAAAACATACTTAGAGCTAAGCATAGGTGGATCACACCTCAGGAGGCTGAGATTTGAAGATGGCAGTTCAAAACCAGCCTGGACAGGAAAGTCCATGAGATCGTCATTTCCAATTAACTACCAAAAACGCCAGTGGTAGAGGTCTAGCCTTGATCACAAAAACTCAGGGACAACACCCAGGCCTTGAGTCCAAATCCTGGGACAAACACACACACACACACACACACACACACACACACACACACACACACACACAAACACACACCATATATAGGAACAGCATCAGTTTTTTTCATACTCCTTGGCTGTAAAAGTACCATAGGGAACAATAACTTTGACGCATTCCAAAGAAGTATCCAGTAATTGACCACTGGAAGCCAAAAAACTTGTGTCATTTGATCGAATATGTGTTCTCCAAATGCTTTTCTGTGAAGTAAATGTTTTTCTAATTAAGCTTAAAAATGTGAAATTTTCTTGCAAAATTGATTTTCCATTAAGACACTAAAGTAGTTTCTCTTCCCTTCTGCTTAGGTACTAATTAAATTATGTCCCAACTTGTTTTAATTCAGCAATCAATTTCTTTCTTTCTCTTTTTTTCTATTTGCACTAGATTACAGAATCTCATTTAAAAATCACTCTTTAATGAATTCCACACAAAGCAGAGGTGATAGACTTGTTCTCAAGTGGAGAAGAAAGAGTACTGGTCAAGAAATAGACACTTACAGTCATCAGAGCAGAATCTCTCCCTTTACCAAAAAGAAAAAAAGGCCCAGTTGTTTTCTGATAGTACTTATTTTTCACACTTTTTTTTTTAGAGATAATCATACTGCAAAGCATAAGGATGGGAGAATTAAAAAGGAACAAAATGTAAAACAGCAAAATCTCTTGATGTGGTATAAAACCACAATGTCTGATATAGATGGACTGAGCTCAACTTTCTAAAATGGTCATAAAGTCATAAGAAGAGAAAAACAGAGTCATAGCTCCTGATTTAATGCTTAAAGTAATTATGAGAACATATTAAAGGAATGAATGAATTATTCTAAAGTATGACAGTTGGCTTCAGTAATCTACAAGTGATGTGAATAATTATTATTTGAATGATAAAGAAAAAGAAAATCTCAAAAAGTCATCATGCCCAGCTAAGCCCTTTCCTATTGGAAGCCTTTCTGTAAATGAAATAATTGTTCCATCACTTTAGAATTTTAGCAGCTGCTAATTTTCAGGCACTGCCCCTTGCAAAAAATTCCCAAACCAAAAATCCCAATAAACAAAACCCCCAAACTCCTTATGCTATTCTATCAAAATTGGAGATGCCGATTTGACCTGTTTAAGTTCATCTTTAATTAACAGCCAATTAAGGTGAAGAGTTCCACTTGTAGATTCCAAAAGCCGTTTCTTCAATTTTTTCTCACTTTTCTTTGGCATCATTCAACTTTTTAAATGTTAAAAATAACATTTAGCACTATTAGATGAAAGTATTTCTAAAATCACAAACAAATTTTCACATGTAAAATGGAAAAACAAATTCTTTAAAATTATAAGAAGTTAAACCAATCGAAACTTCAATATATTCACACAACTATAATCTTATGCAGTTAATGGACAGTAATATGAAAAGAGAGCTCATATCACTGAGAATAAGCCATTCTTCAGATATGAAATATAATTGGAACTTATTTCCTTTACTGTGAGAGTTTCTACCTAGGTCTAGTCATCCAGCGGTACGTGACAAGCTAGTCATCTATTTTATGGGATTTCCTATGTCATAATAAGAGGAATTAGTCACGCACTAAAACAAAAATTTACTATTCTTGGGTAGATATCAAAGAAGAGTTTCCAGAGTTAAACACATAATGGAAGACTTATTATTTACTATTAAAATTTTTTAATAAGTTCAGTAACCACAAGGGTGATGAAAAAAAGAATAAAGAGAAAAGGACAGAGCAAACAGAGGAATGAAAACACAGAAAGAAAATAGAACAAACTAAGAATGATGGAAAAGGTGCCCGATCAACACACAGGTGCACATAAATAGATAAGTTAAATAGAAAACTCCTCCTTACAACCATTGAAGATAATAATAAAAAAGAAAGTGGGTGGTTATAAAAAAATAACCACAAACAACCACAGAAAAACAAAAAAAGAATTGGAGCTCTCTTAACTATTGATTAGTTGCTACATACCAAACTTTATGTTAGGTATTTTACAGTGTTCTATTTCATCTATAGGTGAAGGAGTGAATAATGTTAGATCATTTGCTAGATTAAAAACTGAATTTGAGGGGCTGGGAAGATGGCTCTGTGGTAGACTGCTTGCCTTACATGCATGAAGCCTTGAGTTCGATTCCTCAGCACCACATAAGCAGAAAAAGCTGGAAGTAGCAGTGTGGCTCAAGTAGTAGGGTGCTAGCCCTGAGCTGAAGAGCTGAGGGACAGTGCCCAGGCCAAGAGTTCAGGCCCCACGACTGACAAAACAAACAAACAAATAAACAAAACGGAATTTGAGAGAGCTTGACTCATGAAGTAGCCTGTCAATGGTCTCAGTACCAGAAAACAAATCAGTTAAGAGAGAACCTCAGAAATACTCCAGAAACAAGTTCAGTTGGCCATAAACAAGGTCACCAAAGTCAAGAGGGAACATGAGAGTCTCATGAAGCAGAGACATCTATTGTTTTCACTTGAAAAACATGAGAGCATATTTCTAGGAATATAGTAATATACAACAGTTTTTTTTTGGGGGGGGCAGTCGTGGGGCCTGAACTCTGGGCCTGGGCGCTGTCTCTCAGCTCTTTAGCTCAAGGCTAGCGCTCTACCACTTGAGCCACAGCGCCACTTCTGGCTTTTTCTGCTTATGTGGTGCTGAGGAATGGAACCCAGGGCTCATGCATACGAGGCAAGCGCTCTACCACTGAGCCACCTTCCCAGCCCCAACAAATATTTTTATATGGAAGATTTTTGAATAAATTTGGTGACAAAAATTTTAGAGAGAAAAGAAATGGTTATCAATAGGCCAAAAATATTGACTCCATTTCAATCAATTTCACACATAGTATTCATGTGTACAATCTCCAGATACTCAGGAGGTATAAATAAGTAGATCAGGGTCCAATGTTGGTTTCCAGCAAAAAGGAAAAATAACTAAAGCCAAAAGGGCTGGGGATGTGTTTCAAGTGGCAGGACACTTTCCTAGCAAGTAAAAAGCCTAGGCTCAAACTAGAATACTACAGAATAAGTTGTTATTACTACAGAAAAAGTTTTTATTATCCTATTTGGATGAGATATAGAAAGATAGAAACCTATAGTTCCTTCCAGGAAAGTAGAGCTTAAATTAAGAGGTTTTATACCTCCAAATAATGATGTTAGAGAGAAAAACAAAACCCATTTTCAGTATGGCAATCAGCAATCTTGTAAAACTTTTCATTGTGTTAGATGTTTGAAGCTTGTAGCCGTAAATGGCTGGGCAGAATTTCTGTGGTGGCCCAGCCTCTCTGGGCCATGTAGCCCAGAGATGACCACATTTTACTAAAGCTTAGAGAGAGAGAGATAGTTTCTAAGTGACAAGGCTATTTGCATTCCCTTGGCAATTATAGTCATGTGTCAGGATCTAAAACAATAGCTGGGAAAGGAGTTGCTTTAGGAATTTGCAGAGGTAAAGGGCTGGCTTTTCTATATTGGACTGCTGTGATATTCATCAAGAAAAACACCAGATAGAAAAACATCAAATAGAAGTCATTTCTACTGAGCAAAAACACACCAAGAATATTGAGCTGTCCTTTTCAACTCCCACAAAACACTGGGATAAACTATTAAAACCAGGAAAACATAACATGAAGAGGATTATACAAAGGCAAGGAATGTAAAAGGTGTATTTACTACCAGCCTTTGTGAGTTATAGTTGAAGTTTTAACCATCATGCTCATAGAAGCAGCACATTGTCTGTGAGATGCAGAACAATTGTGGAAAAAGTACCACTTTATTTCATTGTAATAGCTGTTGAAACCATGAAGGAAACAAAACCAAAATGGTTGTGGGAAAACACAAAGAAATGAGATGATTTTTCACTGTCCTTTTAAAGAAGTCATATGTGTGTGTGTGTGTGTATGTGTGTGTGTGTGTGTATCCAGAGAAGTCATTTATAGAATTAAAACTCTCTCTTGCAATAACCCCCAGAAGACCAGAATGTTTTTTCGTGAGGTTATCTCATTTCTCTGACCCTATTTTGCCTGCTGTCAAAGCCTATGGCCTATATCACACTCAGTAAAGAGGTGATAGGTTGTTGTTTGCAATAGGTTGTTAAATGAGCAAGACCTGGAAAGGACAATTTGTCCCTCCAGTAATGTTAATGATTGTCTTACCTCTTCCTTCTCAGCACTTTGCAGATCACGCCATTCCTCAGTTACGTGACCAAAATCCACTGTGTTCATGGGGACTTTGAATTCTCCAATGATGTCATGCTTGGAGAAGCGGTCAAAATCATACACGGCCATCACCAGAGTTTTGCCACCCAACTCAGAGTATGGGACCTACATAAAAAGAGAGGAAGAGAAGATGTCTAGTCACCAAAACAAACAAACAAACAAACAAAACCGCTTAAAAACACCTGTTAAGTGTTTGAGAAAGTGAACTTTCTGTTTTTCCTTTTCTTTTTGAGCAAATGGGGACTTGTCATGGTGATTTATCATTTTATTGCAAAGTATTATAAGCTGTATTATTAATAATGGATCTTGCTATTAGTTATGCTATAAATATTTTAAGAATTATAAACTAATAAACAAGCCAATTACATGTGACTCTATGAGTTTCTCTTGCAGAATATTTTGTCATCATTGTCATAACCTATATTGTCAGGGTATATCTTACTCACAGATGAAATAACTTGTTTTGAAATTTCCATTAACTCTTTCAAAGCTACTTGGACCTCACAGTTTAATGCAACAAAACTTATTAAGAGAGATGCATGAGCATGAAAGGAGTTAAATGAAATTCACAAGATACCTCACCTACTCTTTGAAATAATTTCCTGATTGACAGGGACTGACTAGAAAATGGATGTTTTGAATATCAGAGACTCATTATAACGTGGATCTTGCAGCTCACTCGTAGGTCTGACACTTCAGCATGAATAGTGGCAAAAGGCCAAGAACTGGTGCATTCTCCAGCTGTTCAGATGTATCTGGGACAGATGCTATGGGTCGGAAAGTTTATTAGTGATATTTTTAGTATTCAGGGGAAAGCGGTGTAATCCAAGTAAGCTACACTTCAGTAACTGGGTAGAAATGCCACATTAAAAACTGTTTAGACTTGTATTAAAAGTTTGATCAGCCAGGCATGGATGGCTCATGCCTCTAATCTTAGCCACTCAGCAGGCTGAGATCTGAGAATTGCAGTTTGAAGCCAGCCCAGGCAGGAAAGTCTGTGGTACTCTTATCTCTAATAAATCACAGAAAAAGCTGGAAGTGGCATTGTGGCTCAAGTGATAGAGTGCTAGCCTTGAGCAAAAGGAGTTCAGGGACAGTGCTCAGGCCCAGAGTTCAAGCCCCAGGACTGGAGGAAAAAAGTCTTATCAATTTTCATACACATACTATTTTATCAGTGTAAATGGGTGTCTTATTCTCCATTAAACATTTCTCAATTAAGTCAATCTATTAAGAAGAGCAAAATACCTGACCATATATGTATTACAATTTTTTGGTTTCCAAAGAATGTTTATTTTTTGTCATTTATTCATGATGTCTGTAATCTTTGTTAAAATATTGTAATTAAAAACTGGGCATAGCTGGGTGCTGGTGGCTCATGCTTATAATCCTAGCTACTCAGGAGGCTGAGATCTGAGGATCATGGTTCGAAGCTAGCCAGGAAGGAAAGTAGTCCATAAGACTCTTATCTCCAATTAACCACCAGAAAACCAGAAGTGGTGCTATGGCTCAAGTGGTAGAGAGCTTGCCTTGAGCTGAAGAGCTGAGAGATAGTACCCAGGCCTGGAGTTCAAGCCCCACAACTGACCAAAATAAACAAAATAGGCATAATGTTTTTCCATTTTAAGAGGAACTTAGAATAAATCCAGAGAGCTGAAATTCAATGGAGGAAACAACAGTGATAAATTCTTCCATGTTTTATTATAGTTCTAAAGTCTCTCTGGAGTTTTTGGTGATTGTAGTGACATCACAACAATCAAGAGCCTGTGTCTGGAGTTAGAGACTTGGACCTAATTGTAATAACTTTCTACCTGAACGACATGGAAAAAGGGAGCTAATTATGACAGCTGACAGCTTCCTTGTTAGTCATTTGTGATAATCATAGTATTTATTTTGTGGGGCCATTTTAAGAGTAAATAAATATAAAACAACACCTAGTTGGTACTTAAGAAATACTTATTATCAATTAATATCTCCTTTAGGTGGAAGTTTGCTTTATAGAAAAAAATGAGTTTAGTTTGGGGCACGTTGAGCTCCTGTTAAGAAGATTTTACTCAGTTCTAAAGTCAGTGATCTTGTCTCACACTTCATTCCTGTTATCATATTTCTGGTTGCATTTCAATCTACTGTCTGCCAGAGAAATTAATCATTTCTCTAGAAAAGTTGACATATTTCTTAAACATTTATGGTTTGTTCAACTATGAATGGAATAAAATAGAAATTGTAAAAAATTATAGCCAGTTACAAAATCTGAGGAATTGTATTTTTGTCATAGAAATTACTAATAAAATCATTAGTAATATATTTAAAAAATCATGTGTAGGTAATTCAAATTAAAGGAAAGCAACACAATATTGTTTCAAATAATGTAAGTTCCTGCTTACTAAATTCTCATCAGAAACTATTCCTAAATAAGGCTTAACATACCAGCTGCTGTTGATAATTGTCTGGAATGTTTTTAAAGTTTATTTTACCTCATATTTTCTGGAGCATTGATAAAAAATCTGAGAATCTCCAGAATGATATTACTGCTACTTTAAATTAATTGGACACAGAACCATTATAGACTTTTATTTTTTTCTCCATATAATTATGATTAGCAATTAGTTGTACAAGATGGTTTCATTTTGACATGTCCATATATGTCTGCAATGGACCTTTATCAGTCTCATCTCTTTGGTCATTCTCCCTAGTTTTCTCCCTTTTCTCCTTCCCAAACCAATCTCAATACGCCTCATTGTTCTATTTTCACCCATGTACAGAAAGTATTTTGACCATATTCACACCTTCTATTTAGAACCATTGTGAAAAGACTTTTGTCTTGAAAAACTCAGATGTTTCAGAATGAGTTAGGAAGACACTGCTTCTTCACAAAACTCAAATCCAGGTTCAAAGAAACAAGTTTTGTCCCCAGCTTCATCAATTTCTATTTCCCATCAACGTAGCTGCTGCCTCAGCACATGTTATTACTAAGCATGGTTGATGGACAGGGTGATTTCGAATCTGCCTGCTGGCATAGCCACAGACATTTCATTTTTCAGAAGTGCATTGTTCTAAGCAATGCATTTTAAAATAATTTCACATATTCCATCAAAAGAATCGTTTTTATGAATGCCTTCAAGCCAAGAGTTACAAAGATCCCTGAGGCCTGCAGGGCATGTTATACTGACAAGTTATGATATGGTCAGAATGTCTCTTGTTTATTGTTTGTCAACTGAAGTATCTTGACAAGATAAAAAACATCAGGGAAGATCCTAGAGTAAATGAAAAATGCTAGACATACAGACAACAATCCACCAAAATGCACACAATCTTTTTATTGATAAAAGAGTAAGGGGTTTAGTGTGTTCAACTACTGCTTCTACATACCCAGGATTTTTGTAACAAGACCATGGCTCATTTGTACTATGCAAGTACTGCAACATAGCTTGCTTGGTTCAGTGATTCAACTAGCTAGATCTATTTTCACAAACTTTGAAATTCAGGAAAATAATAATTTCTTTCTTTTGGCTTTATTTTTGGTGAACATAGGAGTGGTAGATATCTAATTCTACTGGCCCATTTGAAGCAGACTTACTTTGTGGATGTGACTATGACATTCTAAATATGAAAAAAAATCTATATTTCTTTCTGAAAAGATAGAGCTGAGTCTGACCTTGACCCCATTTAAGTGCAAAGCAGAATCCTCACTAGACGGAGGACAAAGATTTTCAAGAGTCTGAATACAGTCATTGAACATCCCAGAATAACTGTTCAATCCATGTGTGACTACATGTCAGGATAAAGCCAGTATTTTTTATCTAAAACAATAAAGTAAAGGTTATACGTAAACACAAGAAAAATATACCTTGAAAGTAAATTGTTCATTGAAGACAGGATTCAGGGTTTTCCGGTGGACTTTTGTCTCAAATTTCTTCTTTTTGTCAGGCAGCAGAAACACCTTCACATAGGGATCAGAGGTTCCCCCCATGTCTAGGGCAGGCAGCTCAGCAGCCTGGATGATCCCTACGAGAAGCTGAAATGTGTGACAGAAAGTAAGCACAAACATCAGTGGACATGTTGGGAAAGATTGATTTGCTCACAGTGCTGCCTATTGTAATCCCTCCCCTCTTCCTCTTTGCTTTTTAACACATTTTCATTCTTTTACAAACCTGAACATGGAAGGCAAATGAAATGAACTCTCTAGACTTCAGAGACCCAATTATGACAGATGCAAGCTCTGGGAAGCCTAGTTTTAAGCACAAAAGAGGCTTTTAAAAGGTTGCTGATTACAGTTAAATATGGAATTCATACTTGCAAAAGGGTTGCAATCAAATAACTTTCCAGTTGCTAAAAGCTCTCGTGCATTGTTTTTCTTTCCAGGGCATGATTTCTAAGTGGAAATAAATCGTTAAACAATCACGAGTCTATAATTACAAAGTAGGAATTTTTTTCTTTAGTAAAGTCTGAGAACAGCTAAATACAAATTTTTTACAAATTGGCTAACACTTTGTGATAAAAGAAAATAAGTTCTCTAAGGTTTATCTTACTTGACCTGTACTTGTATGCTGGCTACTTTTTCCCTTGAATTACAATAGCATCATTATAAATCATTATAAATTTTACATTTCAATATAGGACATGGAGTCAAAGGAATATAATTTGAGCTTCCTAAAGAGGATGGGAGATTACAGATGTACTTTTTCATGTTAAGTAATCAAGTGTCTGATTTATTTTTATTATTAAACATAAATCTCATTAAAATATTAGATTATGACACTGTTGAGATTTTTAAAAAATGAACAAAAGGAATGTGTAGAAAATTCTAGATATCCTACCTGCAGAACTTTCACGTCAAAAGACTGGTTTAGATCTTTGTACTAAAAAAGAGGTAGATTTACTGTGTAAGGTGTGTACTCTTCAGTAAATGTAGATACTCCAAAGGTTTTCATTTGAAAATCTAAACTTAGTCTGAGTACAGATTCAAATTGTCACAGGAATTTTTTTTTAGCTAACAGAGCAAAAAAAAATTACATCCATTTTCTGTAAAACGGATCCACCATATCTGTAGTAAGTGCATTTTGGTGAGTTGGATCAACTTCTAATATGGAGCATTTTGCTTCCATTTAAAATCTTGTGTACCTGTTGTATGGTGTCATCTTTCAAGTATAGGATGCAGGTACACAAGTTAGAGACAGATAATTCAAGAATAACTAATGGAGGCATTCCCATATAAAGATAGTAAAGCAAATAGCTGTCTGTTGGTTTATTAAATTTGTATTTAACATTTGTTTTCATGTGACAAGGATAAGTGTGATCCAGTTCTTCATTCTCCTTTTTTTGAAACTAATTTTCTTTTGGATGGAGAATATAGTACAACTGTAAAAATAGCTCATTTTTATTTCAGATATTTTTGGATATTTTGATAATAAGGGATGAAGTCACTTCTTCCAATTTCCCTTTTGACTTCAGCATAAAAGAAAAACATCTTTCTCTCTAGCATGGGATTTTTCTCAGAGTATTTTAGAGGTTGTCTTTCAGTGTTGCTAAACAAGTATCTACAATGTTTCTCAGACTTTATTTCCTAACTCATAGGAATCATTTTATATTTTAAATTAGCTAAGAAAATTACATTTATACATTGTTTTCTTTTGTAGGTATAATGTTCTAAATACTGAAAAGAAAATGCCACTTTTTAGATTTAATGTTTGCTGAAAAGAGAGCAATAAAAGCTGTCTCATTACTTCTGAGAAAAACAAATCACTGCTATAAGTTATTTTCTTAAAAAACACTATTGCTGAATAAAATGATACTTATATTACTCAATGCCCACTTACAAGTGTCAGAATTGTGATTAACCAGGAGATACTGCTAGATTTCAGCTAGTAAATGTGAATGAAAAATAAAATGGGAAAAAATCTTGTATAAAAGGATGCTAAAATCCTGCAAAACATGAGTGTATGCAAGGGTAGCTTAAAATGACTTATGTCCCTTTCTGGAATATATAAATAATAGAATATTTTTCTCCTAATCAACTCCTGATTTTGGTAGAAGTGATAGAAATTATATAAAATGTCCTACTTATTGTAAATATAAATGTATTATAAATGTCCTATTAATTGTAAATGTTATCCCTGTAAACATACACATAAGCCCATAGGCAATGTTCTAGAATTCAGTGTTCTAGAAATAACTAGCTAGAGCTATAATGAAGCTGAGCTAATTATTTTTTAAATATGAAAGAATATAACCATATATATCCTTTGTAGGGAACTATTCAAAACTTCATTAGTTGAGACATTATTTGAATTACCTATTCCTAAATGTAGCACATAATTTTTGCAACTGTGTATGGTACTTTCCTTGGACATTAATTCTCGAAGCTAAGCATTAGTGTTTAGTACATTTGTCATTCTCTGCTGACCAAACTGGCTATCACTAGTGCATGCTCTTGTAGTAGTAATTGTACTTACAGTTACTCATTCTTCCTCAACCAAAAGGATGAGTGAAGTTAAATGAACTAGAAAGATTGGAACTTCCCTAGTTGGGCTATTATCTTATAGATTCTTAACAACCTAATTATTTCCACAGATTTTTATCTAGCATTTCAATTCATTTTTTAATTGATATTTTAATAAACTTTTACTCTTAAGATTTTCTTAGATATCTGACTCATTGTTTTTTCTTAATATATATATTTTTATTCTAAAGATACTATACAGAGGGGTTACAGTTACATGAATGAATCCATTTCCCATTGAGCATTGTTACACCCTTCTTTATTTTTCCCCTACCATCACTTTCTTCCCTACCTCCCCAAATCCTCCCTTCCCCTCCCCCTGTAAAATTGTAAAGTTTGTTTTCAACATACTGTGTTATACATTTCATTGGTACAATGGGTAATATTGTATACTTATTTCAGCATTTTGTTATTTCCCTTCCCCTGCCAAATTAGAAAAATCTAATAATAACAGATGCTGGAGGGGATGTGCATAGTTGGTGGGAATGTTAACTTGTTTAACTACTTTGGAAAGCAGTGTGGAGGCTCCTCAAAAGACTCCATGTAGAGCTTCCCTATGACCCAGCAATCCCACTTTAGGCATTTACCCAAATGATCACAAACAAGGCCATACTAAAGCTACCAACACAACTGTTTATTGCAGCATTATTCACCATAGCTAAGATATGGAATCAACCCTGATGCCCCTCAATAGATGAATGGATCAAGAAAATGTGGGGCATCTATCTATCTATCTATCTATCTATCTATCTATCTATCTATCTATCTATCTATCTATCTATCTATACACACACACACACACACACACACACACACACACACACTGGAATTCTATGCCTCCATCAGAAAGAATGACATTGCCCATTTGTTAGGAAATGGAAAGACTTGGAAAAATTATATTAAGTGAAGTAATCCAGATTTAAAGAAACATAGGTCCCATGGTTTCCCTTATCTGCAATAACTAGTATATGCCTAGGACAAGCAGAAGAGGTCAAAAGCTATGAATATATGACCATATAACCTGATGTTAAGTGAAATGAACCCCAAGACACAAGAGGTCTTATCTTCGTTGCTGTTCTTTTTAATGTACTTATACTGTACTGTGTGATTTTTTTTTTTTGTTTCTTTGTATGTTCTTCCCCCACGGTACAACCCCTGTTGTCACTGCATTTGATTCTGGTGTCTAGCATTTCAATGTCATGGGTCCTAGAAGATTTTCATAGAGAGATATTAACAGTCACCTTGTCAATAAGATGTAGATAATATTATCATTCATTGAAATGAAACTTTGTGAGACATTGTAGTAGAAATGTTTTTTCTATCATCTTTTGTTCTTGGTCATTTTGGAGCAGGTTTCATGGAATCTTTGTACTTTTCTAGAATGTTTATTCCATGACTACTGGGGATTTCACTTTGCAGCATGATATTATAACAGGTATTCTTGCTAGAACAACTTATAAGCCACTGTCGAGATTTCATCTTTGATTCTTTATCAAATGGTTTCATTCATTTTCCAAAACTTTGGCTTGACTGTAACCCAATTCAAAGGGCACTGGCCATGTTTGGATTATAAAGTATATTTCTAATGTTTATTCCTGTTCATACATCTTAGCAGGGATAAGTCAGTGAAGCCCATGGAAGGTAGTGCCAGCTCAGGCTGAGGAACTCCGGGGGCAAAGCCTGGCAGGGAGCTCTCAGGAACAGACTGATTGCTTCAAGTTAATTCGTATTCTGCCTGCCTACTCTAAGTGCCAGAGTAGATGTAATCTGTTGAATACTGTGAATTCTAATTACCAGAAGTTAAATTAGCAAGTAGGGAACTGCCTGTACTTAGAAATTATTTCATCAATAGCTTTGATAATTGCATTTTCCCCTCACAGCAATGGAAATGTTTTAAGAAGTATCTTGCTTCAATTTCTACTTGGTAATTTCAGAAAATGTAATGGAATTAGAAGACATTTTCCCTCAGACCTGGTTATTCTGGAAGTCATAATCCAGGGAATATTGAAGCTTTCCCAATTTCTCCTCTTCTTTGGGTTCCTCTTTCTCTTCCCCATCAGTCAATCCGGTCTCAGCATCATCATCCTTAAGGGCCTGTGAGGTAGGGGAAAGGGATCAATGTCAATTTAAATGAATTTTCTTCAGAATCCAAGTGAAATTGGTCCTATAATTACACCTCCAAGCTGTGAGAAGCAAGCACTAAGATGCTGGGAATATGTTGATCTGACACACATTCATGTTTGCTTTTTATGTATTTTTAAATTCCACTTGTGCGAGGAATTTTTCCCCCCAATCAGCAGGCAACATGGAAGCAATGGAAAAGCCCCTCAGAATATGGCAAGCAAAAATATAAACTTGTGCAAAGAAAATGTTAACTCAATACTATAGTTGGCTCTGAGAAAACAGTTTGATTTCTTTCTAGTGTGATACACATGCTATTAACCAGACCAGGTTTCACATTCTTGTCATTTAAAAAGGTCTTCAGCACCAGGTAAAACATCATTGCTACATGCAAGTGCAGTCATATGTATGAGTTGTGTAGCCTTTGGGTGCCTAATTTCTTTGAAAGAAAGTAGTTGAATAAGGAATCCTGAAGGAGTTTTAATTCTCTATATTTCACATATGCATTTATGATGATTACAGAAAAAGTGGAAAAATCCATGCCCCCAGCAAATGCATGTTGAGAGAAAGTTTGCTCCAATTCCAGCAGTCATTTATCATTTATTTTGATAACAGCTCCACAGAAAGCTAGGCTGAACTAAATTGATTTGAGTCTCTATATGACATTACAAGATAAAAAGAATTATATCTGCAAATTTGTAAACAATTCAAGTTGATATTAAAGAGAACAAATATCATGTTATTGAATTAGCAAAACTTTGTCTTGCCAATTGTTTTTTTTAAATATCTAAAGGTTACATGTACTGAAAATTGACAGACTAGAAAGCTCAACTCACATACCTCAAATGCTCCTCTCTTTTAAAACTCAAAATATATAACTTATTTGCCTATTGTGTAAAATTTTCTCAAAGTATCACTTATTAAGTTTATTAATATTAGAAGTTTTGTTTCTAGGAAAGTACATTTTTTATTGTTTTAAAGAAGTTATAATAATTCATTAGAAATCATTGTTTGAAATAAAAAATATGAGGGGCTGGGAAGGTGGCTCAGTAGTAGAGCACTTGCCTTGCATGCATGAGGCCTTGGGTTCAATTCCTCAGCACCACATAAGCAAAAAGAAAAATGCTGGAAGTGGTGCTGTGGCTCAAGTGGTAGAGTGCTAGCCTTGAGCTGAAGAGCTGAGGGACAGTGCACAGGCCAAGAGTTCAGGCCCCACGACCGGACCCCCAAAAAATATGAAATATATTTTTGATCACTAGCAGTGTTGAAAAATTAAAAAGTTTATATTATTTATTTGCATTCTCCCTAAGTAACTGATATACCCAGAAAATAACTTAAAATTATTTTTCTATTGTGTTGCTTGATGTTTTCTTTCTGCTTTGTAAAGGCTCTTTGCAGCTTACTGTTGTAAGAGCTGTAAGTTACAAATATGAATATATAGTGAATATCGTCCCCTGCATTTTGATTGTGAAATTTTCATTGCCCTGTGTGTGTGTGTGTGTGTGTGTGTGTGTGTGTATGTGTGTGTAGGTTTTACTGTAAACTTTTTATAGAAATTAAGTTAAAGCACATACATGGTAAAATGCTTTATATCTTTGGCAAATCTAAGAATCTCAACTATTGTCAGCTCTCAGACTGATTCTGAGAACTCTTATAGGATGCAAATGTAAGAAGTACAATCAGGCTTTAGATAGGCATCAGAATGACCAGACTATGTTCCCACCACTTTGGCCACTCCATCCTGTGCAACACATGGTTTTCTCTCTGCCTGTTCATTATTCTAAGGAAAGATCCCCTCCCTTTTTACTCTACTTACATAGAGAGGGTCACCCTCAGTGGTGCTAAACATGACACCCCAGTCCTTCAATTTCATAATATTTTTCCAGTTAGCTCCACCCAGCTTTCCACTGTTATCCTCTAATACTAGCATGCGCTGAAGATGAACGGAGTTCATTCTCAGGTGAGAAGAATATGGAAACAGAGCTGAGCTGCAGCTACACATGCTTCCTTCCCTTCAGTACTGTTTGAAACTTCTCAGAGGATTCCAAGTTTGAAAAATTGAAAACGACTACTATTACGGGCATCTTTACAAATTTGGTTAGGCCTACACTATTTAATTTAGGAAATTTATTTTATACTTGTATCTTTCCTTGAATATAAAAATGTTAATTTACTGGCAGCCAAAGGCAGGAAATAACAATTATTGAAAAAAATTGCATTAATCTTTGAACTAGAGAGACAAGGGTGTCACAAAAGGGATCAGGTGCTAGTGCAGTGATGCACAGACTACTGAGTTTAATTAGAGGACTTTAGGCTATGGAATCCCATTGATTTTTTTAAACCTTGGTTGAGAATAAGACAATAGCCCTGTCAGAGAGGGTGTGCTTAGAAAGTGTACTTCAGGTAGTTTGCCTTCTTGGAAGATTTTAACTTTTACAAATAATAGCAAATTATTTAATGAATATTTCTGTCTGAAAAGTCTACATGTGTCAATATAGTTACAATACGATTATTTGTTAAAATACTTCTTCAAAACTTTTAGAAATGATAATCTATGTATCATGTTTCAGCCTAGTAAGCTTGACATGACTGAGATATTAAATCTTCTCTTGCCTAAGTGTTTCTTTTTTTAAGAATAGAAGGTACAAGACCATCTCTGCAATTATTCTGCATAAAAGTTTTGAAATTTTTCATGCTACTATTTATCCTAAAGCGATGAACTCGGTTTCCATGCCAAATGCTAGGCTTAGGCAAGACATTTCAGATCTATTAAATCAGTGCTATTTTTTTTCCTTATAGAAAACAATTGAGAAGAAAAGCCTTGTAAAGTCAGCAGTTGTAACACTAGGCATAGCTTTTTCGTGGTTGCAAAAGCTTTGTTGTAAACTTCAGGCCTTCTTTTGAGTTTCTAGGATTTCGGGCTCATACATACAGTTTCACGTTCAAAAGGTGTTTGGAAGGAACATTTGTTCCTTCAAAGTCACACCGTCTGGAATGGGATTTGATGAGGCACACTGAAAAGGCAGTACAAAGGGACTAACCTTTCTGTGTCTATCAATGTAAAACTTGAGCTTTCTAATACTGCTGTATTTAATCCTGGTTAGGAATGTTTTAAGAGGAAAACACTTTATGTCTCACTTCCCCTGACCCCAAATCAATTTAGTTCAGCCTCTTGATGTGTGTCAGAATGGTATGCCCTTGGCTGTGGAGCCCAGCTGGCAGGCCAATAAATGTATGTCAGCGTTGACTTAGGGATGTTTAGTAGGAGAGAAAACCTACCGCAAGGGACAGTCCAGAACAGTCATGAGACACAACACAGATAAGGAGGACATAGAAGGAAGAAATAAAAATTAAAATATCCACACACATTAGTGAAAACCATGGAGAAATGAACTTTCCAGACTTAGTACTTCACAAGATAATTACTTCTTTCTCTGCATGTTTAGCATTGCCAAGTTTCAAGATATAAAACATAAAACCTTTAACTCTTAACCCTAGGCAACACAAATATACTACCTATAGTTAGTTTTGCAATCATTGCTGAATGTTTTGGGTGTTGGCCTTAGTTATAAAAATTTCCTAAATAGGCATCTAGCCATGAACACTGAAATTTGAATTTCTATGATTTTGGTATGGATTGAAATGGTAAGAAGTTATTGATTGCCCGGGAACCTATGTGGTTTAAGAAATCATATCTAAAACTTCTCCTGTTTTCTTTTTTATTAAGAGAGGCAGGAACTTAATTTGTCCCCCACCTCCATGTTCACTTAAATATTGTGCTTAATATTTTGAAAATATACCTTTTAACAATGATTTTAATTTGCCTTTATATTGTTCAGAACTCATTACTAATTACTCTTCCAGTCTTTAATGGTAGCATAAAGTATTGTGTATCATTTGGGTCTGTTTTTATTTATTTCAATTATATTTCATTCTGTACATTGAATTGTCATATAAGTTAGAAAAAAGACCTACCTTATGATGTACTCAAAGTGATAGAAAACACTTTTGTGAGTGCTTGGAATTCTAAGTATTTTAGCATAATAGGTTCCTAGAAGGTAGTATCTTAGTACTTCCTTACTTGACTCATTTTCTCTTTCCTTCTCCAAAGGAACAGGTGATTGATGCAAAAAATTAACCACCATCAATAGTCATTTATCCATGGTACAACAGGGGTAATAAACACTTGCACTATGTTATAAATTAGAATCTTACATGATACAGAACAAATCCCACAAATTAAAAATATAAATTTCTTATCCTAGAATACAACAGATATTGATTGACATTTCCTAGAGCTTACAATTGTTAATTCAAGGACATAGCAAAACCACATTTGAATTCCATGGTAAATTATGAAAATGATAGTATTGTATATTCAAATTATTGTTTTTAAAGTTACTGCTAAAATGGCATGCATATTTTTCAGTCTATGAAGGAGATTATTTCCACACTTTAGCTCCCAATAAACGGTGTAATGAAATCTGTGTCAAAGTATTGAAATGAAACAAAAGCATGAATCAAAATTTCAGGTTCTACATTAAAAATTTACCAAAGAGAAAAATCCTAATAAGCTGTGTGTAGTTGAATGCATACGTATGCCTTTGATAAGTGATCAGAAACTATTAGAGAAAATGAAGTGTTGCTACTCCAACCAAAGCTCTCCTGATTCTGAATATGGACACTACATCCATTCTTTACCTCTGAAACCAAGCAAAAAAGAAGGGAAGGGAAATGAGTTTCTATGAAAGTTATAATTATATTCTAAAGGGTCTTTGAGAAAAAGACTTTAAAACCCTAACTGGAAAGAGAAGTTTAGTGTCCTGAGTTTGTAGCTAACTAAAAAACTACAACTTTACCTAAAATGCCTCTTTCAAAACTTGATTCACTTGTGCTTAAGGAGAACCACATATTTTATGAGATCAATGACTACCAAGTAATACCATAGGATAAACAGATAAAAATTATTGTATATATTGCTATTTGGAAATAAACAGAACTTTTGAGTCATCTGAGGAGAAATATTGACAGTTATAAATGTTGTTTCTATCAAAAATCTCCCATTTACACTTTTATATGAATTACATGTTCCTTAGATATAGTCAGTGTAAGAGTTATTTCAAATATAAAAAGACATTTCATTATTATCATTACTAATAGTAACCTTTGTCTTGAATTCACCTGTCTAGTGAATTTAGGTGAAATTACATAGCAATATAAAGGAAATCTGAGCATCTTCCTTAGGCTCAAGAAAATAACCCAGCCACATGGATTTAGTAAGCAGTTATAGTTTTAGTTATGGTCTCTAAGTAAGGAAATACCACTTTTACTTTTCTGCTCTCTTATTCTTTTGGACTGGCTCTTACTTCTTCTCCTGATATAATTCATTATTTTTTACAACTAGTTATTGATCTGGAACAAAATGTAGCAAGCAATGCTACTGTTCATCAATGATATGGAATAGCTATAAAACTCACTTATTTAACAATGGCTATCAATAGTGAAAAAGTTAGAAAGATAACCTTCCAAATGGAAAATGATCAGGTTCTCTTTATTCTGCTTTTGTGACTCTAAACCCAGCCAGACCTGGTTAAAGAGATGAAATAAAAACCATCAGGCATTGTTTGTTACGGCAGACCCAGGATGCCATCAGGATGGTGGTAAATGCTTGCTTCCTACATATATGTCAAACACACCATGACTCCTTGGAATGTTGAGCAGTGACTGAAAACATTAGCAGGCATCTCTACCACAATGACACATAGCAACAACTTGGTTATTTCTATAAGTTTCTGGCACAACATAATACTACATTTATTTGTTACTTCTCAGAAACATAATCCATGCATAAATAAGGGCTATGTGTTTTACCTGATCTTTCATGGTCTTCCCTAAGTCTTTCACGTCTTTCATATTAATGGCATTCTTTCCTCCCTTTTCTTTCCCCTTCTTCTTGTTTTTCTTTTTGAACAAACACTTCTTGCAGATACAAAAGCAGCAGGTCAGGACTAAAAGGACCGCGACTATGGCTATGGCTATTAAGGCCCATGGTGGCACTGGAAGAGAAGAAAAATAAATACCACATTGGTAACAAGATATCAGTAATAACACCTTAGATGCACAGAGCAGTCTCATGCTTCAGTATATACCCCCATCGTGGTTTGTCCATGTTGTTTCCCTGCCTGAGGGGTTCTTTGTAGTCTTTTCCCTTAGCGCTTCCTTTTATGTCACGCATTTGTGTTCCCTGATGTGCCAAGCTAGATTCCTGTTACTGTATCCTTTGATTTTGTCTTCAGAGCACCACTCCAGGATTTGACCTCTGATTTTTTTTCAATCCTGGCTTCCCTTACTTAATAGCTGTGTCATCTTGGGCAGGTCTTCTAACATATCTTTTACTTGAGTTTCCTCATCAGAAAGTAGAGGTAAAAATGACAGATCCCTCAGAGAGTCCTTGATGAGTATTAAATAATAAGGTGTAATGGTTAGTATAGCAAAAGCTTAATAAATATTAACTGCTAATACTCATCTATCAAACACTAGGCTTCATGTTAGTATGTTCTATGTTCTGGCATGGTAGGAGGAATAGGCATTGATCATATACACAGAAAAGTGCACCTAAGACCAGACCACTTGTGAAATCTAAAAATAAGTGTTGGGTGTTCTGAAAGTTATTATGTGATATATCAGAGTTGAGACTGGCTATGTATCAGGTAGCTCTTAAACCTGAATGAGTTCAAGCTTGACTTAGAGGATGTGTGACTCTGGTCAGATGTTTTAAGTATTCTGACATATTTTTCTTCCTCTAGGAAGTAAAGATTATATAATGCCTATTTTATCTGGTTGATTACAAGTTAATATACTGAGATGCTGCCATTTCACATGTAGCAAGAGCTTAAAAACTGTTAGCTCTTATTTCTTCATATCCATGGAACAGACTCAACTTCTGTATGTAATGTTTATAGTACATAAATAGCCATTAAACACAACCACTGATAAATATATAAAAAGAGGCTCTGATGGCTCAGGCCTATAGCCCTAATACAGCAGGCTGAGGTCCATTTTGAAGCCAAATGGGGCAGAAAATTTCATGAGACTCTTATCTCTAAGAGTAGAGATTCTCTGAGTAGTTTTACTCAGAAAAAGTAGGAAGTGGTGCTGTTGCTCAAGTGGTAGAGTGTTAGCCTTGAGCAAATGAAGCTAGGGACCAGTGCTCAGGCCTTGAGTTCAAGCGACTGGACAGGAAAAAAAAATTTTTAAAAAATATAGAGGAAGATCTGAAAACAGAAAAATTCAGGAAAAATGCTGAAAGGGCAAGAGAAAGGGATGATTTTTTTTAAATAAAATAAGATAAATAAGATTTATAAGCCTGCTAAGGTTAATAAAATGTGTATAAATAAATATACTTAAATAAACATTTAGTTTTTATTATAGTTGTCAATCTGGCATAAGTTAATAACATGTCTTATTTGGTCTCCCTTGCACAATTTGCTTATCAAAACACAATTTCATGGAAACATTTAGGATTTAACTTTGACTAGAAAGGAATTATTCATGATTCAAATCCAGCTATTGAGATTAATCAGAAGTAATTAGATTTGTCTCTTGTAATAAAAAGACATTGGAAAAAAAGACGTTGGATGCTGAAATGATAAGAAAACCTGTAATTTTCTCCAAGGCACATAAACATCATTAGTACCAATGATTGTTGAACACAAGTCAGGAGTACTCTGATAAAGTAAAAGCACTTGAAATTAACCTCTCTTCAAACCAAAGAAAACCCACTCTTCCTTGCTTTCCATCTGCATTCAGTTTTGTAATGAAGAATATTCACTCTGCAAAGGAAGACTGGATACTATCTATTAGACTTAAGGACATATAAAATTTCAAATTTTCACCCATGGAAATACTTGTGCGAATATTATAGATAAAATCACCCTCAAAGACATGTCTTCTCTCTCTTTTTCCTTCCTTTTCTCTCTCTCTCTTTCCTTCCTTCTTTCCTTCCTTCCTTCCTTCCTTCCTTTTCTCTTTCTTTTTTTGTTGGTCATGGGGCTTGAACTCAGGGTCTGGGCACTGTCCCTGAGCTCTTTCACTCAAAGGTAGTGTACTCTATCACTTTGAGCCACAAAGCCACTTCCAGTTTTCTGGTGGCTAATTAAGAGTCGTTTAAATAAGGATACAGGTTGACCTGCTGCAACAATGAGAAGTACAAATCGTTATGTAGAGAACGAACTTTACAACTTTGGTGGGGGGGCGGGGAGGATTGGGGGGATGGGGGAGGCTGGGAAGGGATGGGAAGGGTAAACAAAGGAGGATGCTACAATGCTTGATAAGAAATGTACTCATTATCTTGCCCATGTAATTGTAACCCCTCTGTACAGTATTTTCACAATAAAAAATAAATAAAAATTTTAAAAAAAGAGTCTCATGGACTTTCTTGCCCTGGCTGACTTTGAACCATGATCCTCAGATCTCAGTCTCTTGAGGAGCTCAGATTACAGGTATAAGTCATCGGCGCCTGGCATGTTTTCTTTATATCACCAAACACATGCTTGTGAAAAATTTAAAATAATGTAAGCTCATAACCAATAATATTATTCATATTATTTCATTGAAGAGCTTCTACCTCTGCTGCTCTAGTTGAAATCCTGCCACACATGGGAGGGTGACCATATGTTATTTGCAGGTAACACAGCATTAATAATGACCTTTCATTTTTGAATCTAGTAAATATTCTCCCAGTTTGACTTTTCTGATAGACTCTCAAAGAGCTATATTAAATTATATAAAATAAGATGAAGATAATCTGATAGATTCATGCACACAGAAAAGAAAATAGAGGAGAAAAGCAAAAGTACATTATTTAATCAAGAGACCTTAAAGAGATAGGAATATGGAATTATAGGAAGGAATCTGAAAAAGTGCAACTAGAAGGCAATTTCAAACCAATCACTGACAAAAATTATTTTATGACCTTTATTTCTTAAAGAATGCTTGTAATTGAGATTTGCTTTCATTTACCCCTCGGCATACTTTAATTTTAATTTTGAATATGCTATATTGAATATAACTAATATAACTTTCCCTTACAAGTTACTAGTACCTTTATAGAATTTTTGAAAATTTCTTAATGTAATTGTTTTGTCCATCCACACAAAAACTTGATCAGCTAACATAAAGAAACAGCCATTTTAATATATATGGATTGAATCCTCATATTAAAGATTTATATTGTTGCATGGAATAATCATATTTGAAAGTTGACAGGTTTAAAAAATAATACCAACAGCACCATACATTTGAAGAATTTATAGAAATATTTCAGGAAGCATAACTCATAGACTATGCTCTGGATGAGGTGAAAATATGCTTAACAACTATGTTGTAGCTTAAATTTATTATTTTTCAACATTCATAAAGATTTTGGTTCATTATCACTTCAATTTTATGGATAAAATTCTAAAAATTGAGTAGCTTAAGAATATGATTTTAGATCGTTGGCTAAAAAATGTGTACATTGAAGATATCTACATATGAAAAAACCTCTGATCTAGCTTTGAGGTCTCTTTAGCAGAACATTTTATATGAAAAAAGTCCAGTAAATCAAATAAGATGCTGCCAAGAATGATTTATTTAATATGAAATATACTTCCATCAAAATATTGCTACTGGCAGAAAGTTACTGTTACTGCCACCCTGGCATCATTAAATAGAATTTAAAAATAACTTTACCATTTAACTTGAAAGCTTTCAGTAGAAAACAACAAAGTGAAATAAAAACTGTATAAAGAAATACTATTTTCATTTTCTAGTTCATGAATCAATGTCACATTAATATCATTATTATTTTACCAATATGTAAATTAATGCACGAGAATTAAGTCAATGGGAAGTTAATTCAACGCATCTGATGTTTAAATGCAGACATGATGGCAGGGAGAATGGATGCTCAAAGACTTTTATATCCTATTCCAAGTTATCTTAAATAGCGAGAGAATTCTCAAAGATAATTAAGGATCTAGAAATGGGATTATATTCTGGATTATCTGAGTAATGCTAGTATAATCACTAAGGTTCTTACTAGTGAACAAAAAAGGCAGGAGTCTCAGAATCAAAGAAAAAGATTCGAAGATGTTGTGATGCTGTAATTGAAGACAAAAAAAGGGGACCCTAAGCCAAAGAATGGAGGCAGCCTACAGAAGCTAGGAAGGGGAAGGAGACAAAATCTCCCCTATGCCTTCAGGAAGAAATCAGCCCCAAGGATACCTTGATTTTATCTCTGTGAAACCCACTGGTATTTCTGATCTTGAAAACTAGAAAATAGTTTGTGAGATTTTATGTAGTAATTTATTAAAGCAGCAACAAGAACTCAAGGGATACATAGAAACTTGTCACCTGTGTTTCATATAGATAACTATACAGCTAGGTAGTACACAGTTGGTGCACTCCTGTAACCTAAGCTACTCTGACTTCAGAGATTGAGAGGTTTAAGGTGAGGCCAAGCAAAAAAATCATGAAAGCCCGTGTGGAAAATCGTGGAAAATTGTTGGAGATACAAAGTCTCAGGGTGTGTGGCTCTTTTTCTCTTAAGGTTTTCTCCAAGATAACCTATCTAAATAATACTTCTGAATGAAGATCCTGATTACATCATCCTACGTGAAACTCCCTTTGTATTGTTTCCTTCTTACATCTTTCTGCTTCTTTGTCTCTATCTGTATTTTCCCATTGCTAAATTTTTCATGGGGTTATTATTCTAGGTGGTTTGTCAATCTCACACTGTCCAGTGTATGTTTTCCCACACCTTAAACTTTCTGTCCCCTCTCTTGGACTCAGTCCTGTATCCCATTGTCCACTGAATTCCCCATAAAAACTCTTTTAGTTTCTCCTTTAACCAGTTCTGCAAACTAAGTAATTGGCTTCCACCAGTATTCATTGGACACTGAAATAAGGTAGATATTTTCATTTCCCAATCCATTTGATTAGCACTGCTATTTCTTCTTCAATGTGTTCTACATTTATTTTATATCTACTTGTAAAGTATAGGCTTGCTATTATC